GAAAAGGACTTGCTAATGGACCTGAAAACTGTACAACAGAGCCACTGAAGTGTTCCTGAGAAAACAAAAGAGGATCGACTTCATTTTCAAATAAGCAGATAAGCAGACGCTGTGGAGAAGTACATTGGTGAGTCAATGAATTTTATTTTACATTTCTTCTTGTCATTTTATTTCGTTAGTATTAAATTCATGGTAACGAAATAAAATGACAAAGACACAAACATGTATCAAATAAATCTGCTCACCTGCAATTTATAATGGCGCATTGTAGTCACCTTCGTGCACGAAAGTTCGTTCAATCTCAGCTGTTAGTCAGTTATTAGTTAGTCAGTTATGTCAGTTATTTGCTGTTGTATCGTCGATTTTCAAAATGCAAATGATCTGTTTACTTTATTTTCAAAGAACAGTTTGTTTTGTTATTGTTTGGTTGGTGTCTTAAATGAAACTGCGACATTGCGCAATTTATTGGACAGACTTGTTTAAGATCACACAGCGTAATTTGGGTGGCATTTTATTTCGTATTTTTAAATCATCTTTTTATTTTTGACTATCTGTAAATGTAGTTTCCTGCTCTTAATTGTGAATGCATACTTGATGGTTTTAAATGCTCCTGAAATTAAGTGCTGCTTGACGAGCCTATACAGTATATTTTGTTGTTCTACTTCTTCGTTTCATAACTTTGCTGCTGTGATTTGGGAATTTCTCCATTGCGAGACTAGTAAGGGTTTTCTTATTGTGTTCATAATAGGTGACGTCACTGAAGGCCTAAGGTTGAAATGCACGGCCCGCCACTGTCAATATATGTATTTTATTTTAATGTTTTGATCTTATAGATTAGCCTTAAACTAGAACAAAGGCAAATGAACAAAGAATTAATTTTACAGACGGTTTATTGATTGACTTCAATTAGAATCGTTAACTGACTTTAACCTGCTAATCTTATATTGGAGAGATGCACAGCCCTACTTTACCCTCTCAAATACTGTGGCTTACAAACTATTGTTCTCGTTCCTACTTTTATTTATACATTGGATTCCAAGTTCAAATTAATTTAAGTTGTTTAATTACATAAACTTATTTTTGTTGCCTGATACAGGTTTTGTACTTATTTAAGAAATAAGAAACTATCCAGAACATACCTTACGATTAAATAAATTAAGTACGTAAGTAACTTAGTAAGTAAACAAATGACTCGTCTTACTTCTTCACGTAATTTAACACAGGTTAGGACTTTATGCTGAGGTGATACTGTACAGTATATGAATATCAACACAAAGATAGCTCATGTCGTGTCATGTGATGAAGATGAGCAAGTAACTCCTATCGTGTTAATCATCGTTTATGATGTAACTTTTGATGAAAACAGAAACTATTCGTGGTAATCAAATTAATCCACACGTTGACATAAACAGGAATTCACTACTTACCATTTCTGATTAAGATGAATTGACTGAAATAAAAAGTACGGAATAAGACGCTTCTTTTTCAAAATGCCGCCAACATTGATGACGTCATACACGCGACAGCGTAAGTGCAAAACATTGAAGAGCACCACTGCTGCGTGTATATGCGCATTCGTTTTTAAAACTTAATGTACGGCCTGAATTCAGCACTGTATGTATTTAAGTTAACAGGTGTAATCAAAATAAAAGACAAGAAAAGATAGGATATCCTATAAGAAATAAAAAATCAAGCTACTCCTAAGATGTTCGTATGAATGCACCTCGCGTGCTTTTTTGCGACTCACCACGTTAAAATCGTAGAATGTATTCCTTCCATTTTTTTGTGCCTGTATGGCCACTATGACCGAATTAAATATTTTTGTGATTATTTCAGAGTAACCACGATATTCCTAAGTAAAATCTAACCTGTATCATGGTTAAATATTAGGTTTGAAAACTAATTCTACTGCTAATAAAGTAAGCAAACAAAGTTTATAAAGTGATTAGCTGTCAGGATATGCACCAAGTAGTAGTAGTAGCAGTAGTAGCATCATCGTTATCATCGTCATCATCGTCGTTGTTGTTGTTATTGTTGTGTTTTTGTTGTTGCAGTAAGTGCCGCGTATAAACGTGTCCTGATCTGGTCAGCGTGCGTTTCCGCAATTTGCCAGCAGGTGTCTCTGTTTACTCGTCTCCACGCTTGCTCGACAAGTTATTGTCTTTCCCCATTTTACTCACGTGATCTTGTCTCTGAATATTAGATGTTCGTTGAAAACAAATTTTCGTATATGAATCATAAATGTTATGTTTGATAAAAGATATACTTATGAGAACGTGCCTTCCGGTTATTTACTACAAGCCCCAAGATATTTAGGTTAAACTTTTTTAAAGAGTGCGCCAAACATCTTTAATATTAATAAAACACACTTCTCAGCTAATAGCGATAACATAATATTCATAAAGTATTACACGGTCGTGATTAATTGTATGCTGACTTTAACTAGAGGGGGCTTCTGTCCTTGGATAATGCAAAACGCATAAATCATCTTTACAACAGAATGTTCCGAGCTATAATTGTATCTATTTGCAGACTGTATTTTGTTTCTTTTATTTTGCTTTGTTTTACTCTGCTGTCTGGTTTCAGGTCAGCATTGCAAATGATAATCTGTTCCCAATTACCTTACCTGGACGAGGTTAAAATGCCGTTACTTTATGTTAGAATTTGTGTGGTATTTATCACCATCGAACTTTACAAATACTGCTTCTTTCACTAAAATCGTGCCACTTCTAACATATTCAAAAACGTTTTTTTAATGAATTCGATTTTTATGATAGGCTACGTTTTATTAACAAAGTAACGCATGCAGAATCGCATTCAATGATACTGCACGTGCTGTTTTGTTGGTGCTTTAAACAGATGTTTAGAGTCAAAGATTGTTTGGGGTAGTCTGTAACTCTATGAATAGAATGTTTAGGCGTTCTGGTTATTTTGTTACCATCTAATCATGTTTATTATACCAGTGTTGTGTGACTCCATCGCGTTCGAGGGTCAAATACATCGCAATTTGAGGGAATATATAGTGTATTTCTGCTGTTTTCAAGCTTCCTTAAAAGTCCAACTGTATATTATTTGAATGATCAACTAGAATTTGATTAATATGCAAATTTACCAACAAACCGTTCCGCGTGAGCCTTCAGCGCAGCCTAATTAATCAACAGTTAAAGGAAATTAATACATACATCAATTCTGTCAGAAACATGCTTAGCCCAATCGCCCGTAAAATTGAAGTTTGAAGTATTAACTGGCTCTGCAGGAAGGCTATGATTAAAACTCCGCAATCCCACTCCATTTATATATAGTGATTTAACTGCAGGCAAATATAAAGTCGTTTACATGTCTATTGTTTTTTTTTTGTTTGTTTTGTTTTGCAAAAATGACAACGTTATCAATTGTGAGAAAGTGCTTGTGATGATTATAATAATTGTTATTGTTGCAAATATCACAAAATGTAATGTTTTTTGTTAACATCTAAGGCCTTAATTTTGGTCATTAATTGCATCATTCACAATTCAAAACAGAGTTCATCCATCCTATTGTCTTATTGCAATACTGTCAGTGGCTCAAAAATTTATTTAGCTTTGCACCTGAGACCGTTTTCCACAAGGTGCAAATAATAAAATAAAAGGGATTGGGGGAGAGAAATGAGATGGGAGGGGGGCAAAGGGAGGACTGTACTATTGTTTCAGTAGGGACTCATGCATCAAACTTCAATTTTCCGGACGATTGAAGTAGTGATTTTTTTCCCCATCTTGAAGTGAAATACTGAAATACACTTAAGACCTCCAGATTAATTACCATGAAGTGGTCCCACAGACTGTAATATTACTTATCATGGGGCCTCCTGACAAGCCCTCATAAAATAAACAAGTGAAATCTATATATATATATATATATATATATATATATATATACAGTCCCATAAACTTATTGCAGTTTTAAGTTGGTACAAATCCGATGTTGCATTTGGGAGTAAAAGGCCTCCGAAAAAGGAAAATATGACCTTATTCCCGAAAAGTTGGCCTGAACGCCTAACATGTGGACATTTTCGACCGTTTTTAAAAAATCATTAAAAAATAAACCTTCGTTATCCCGCGAGGGCCGTA